TCCCGATTCAATTTTCACAATATCCCAGGTGGTTTTAATTTTATTGTTTGATTTTAGAATTTGGTTGTTATAATTATTCTGTTTGGCTTCTTTAATGACTTTTGACAAGATTTTACACTACATTTTGTAGTGACTTTTTGTCTTGGATCATTACTGTCCCTACCGGCCAAATATAAATGTCTTTTATGTTTACATGAAGTTTTCATTCCAACAGTTATCCAGGTGGTTTTGCTTTTAATGTCATTTTTTACTATTTTTAAGGGAAAGCTTGAATAAAAGATCCTCAAGTATGTGTTCAGAAAGCAATTAAATTTAGAATCAATATTATTGCTGTCAAATACAGTGTCCCAAGATTCATTACTTAATTTTGTGACAAAATCTGCCATCATATGCTTGTTGATTTTCCTACTGTTTTATATTGTTGATTACTGGGCTGAAGGTTAATATTATTTATTTCTATGAGTTGGGCCTCATGATCGGACATGCCATTTATAAAGGGTCCTATAGTATAGTATCTTATTTTTGAGTTATCAATGAATATATTATCTATTGCTGACCTAGAATTATTTTGAACTCTTGTGGGAAAGTTAACAGTACTGGAGAGATTGTAAGATAATAACAAAGAATCTAAATTTAGTTTCCTATTACTATCGGTGAGATAGTTTACATTTATGTCACCACAAATTAGAAATTCAACTTTGGACTATGCAGTACATTGAGGATGGTTTCTAATCTATCTAAGAATTGATCAAAATTCCCAGATGGGGCTCTATATCAAGTCAGTATACAAATATCAGAAAAAGTAGAGTCTAACTTTAAAGCACACGCTTCTAGATCCTGATCTTTGCAATAATCTTCTAAACGTAGTTCAGTAAATTTCACGTTTTTATGTACACAAATACTCACTCCTCCTTTCTCTAGCATTTGTCTACAACATCTAGCTCCTAAATTATAATTTTCTATGTGAAAATGTTCTAATTCCAGCTGCTTCATGTGATGTTCAGTAAGGCACAGTATGCGCGGGAGACTTGAATGCATGAAGCTTATTAATTTGATTTATGTCTCAGTCCTCTTATATTCCGATGGACTACTCTTAGTACTTTGTTCTGTATTGATTTTATTGAGCTGTTATTTCCTTTTTTGATTTCTATTTCTTGGCATTTATTACTAGCTGAAGGATTATTTTCTTTTGCAATTTATTTTACTTGGTAAACCTTACTTGCACTGTTTAACCTTTATTTAACCTGAACACCCATGACAACTGGAATGTATCTGCCCTTAAAGCTCTCTACAATGAGTCGTGTGAGCTTGTCCTTGCCTTGAGGATTAAGATGCAGACCATGGAATGCTCATTCCTCATTACTGAAGAGACATCAATCCCATTAATGTGAGTCCTGCCAATCCCCACAAGTGAACGCTCAAGTCGAAGATTCACATCCCTTATCCACCTGTTAATCCATGGCTTGTCATGTCGCCAGAGAAGACCAATGAACTTCACATTGATGTGAGTGGTTTTTTGAGCAATGTCACTTATGTCATTCTCAATTTGGTAATTGAGGTTCCTATCTAAACTGTTTCCTGGCCCCCCAACTATAACTACTTGATCTTCTTTATTAAGATCCTTACACAAATTTTCTATGTCCCCAGTGACACTCCTCAGGTCAGCATTGGGCTTGAATATGCTGGTCACAGCATATCCATCTCCCATAGCATTTTGAAGCCTCTGTCCGATACCCCTACCATGACTGCTATCAAGTACAAGAATCTGATGTCTAGGCTTTGCCTTAAATATAGGCTTATAATTAGATTCAACACTGGCTGGCTGGTCTACAGAGTTACCATCAGTTTGAGGCTCTAGCATAGCTAAAGGTTCAAATCGATTGGTTGAAGTAAACTTAGTATCTAATGAGGAGGAAACAATCTTATGTTTCCTTCGGGAGTTTGATACAGTCCGAAATACTTCAGGACAATTATCTACTGAATTTAATTCCTCTTTTAAGAGGCTAATCACAGTTTTTGCAAATTCAAGCTCCCTACTCAAACTCAAGATTGTCTCCTCTTGCTTCTTTATTACCATGGCTTGCACACAGAAGTTGCAGTACCAAGGCACTAAGGCCAATTCACTGTTTGTACCAGCACACTCCCAATGAAACGATTGGCCACAATCCTTGCACCCTATCCCGTGGCTAACCTTCCTCCTTCAGGCCCCACATTTACCTGATAAATCACTACCTCTTGTGGCCATTTTCACTCACAGTCTATACACTGGTACTAACTGAAAAATTAGGGACAACTGAGAAATATTTTTATGTAACTAACACCTACAAGATACTTAAGTGCTGGTATAAATAGCTTACAGCCCACTCTAAACTTCACTATATTATGATTAAACACGTTCACACTCTTTTTAGGTTAGGCCTACCGGCACGTAAAGAAAATATAAAATGACACACTTTAAGTTATAAAATTACAATACACTTCGCCAAACCTTGTATTATTCTATCTTAACAAAGGCTATAAAACCTGATGCACTTGACTATACTATTAATTATATTTTCAAACGCCATTTTCTTGGTTAGGCCTACCAGCACACTTACATAAATAGAAATCAGACTAAATAAAGACACAAAATAACAATAACACTACTCTAAAACTAGTACTGTTCAATCCTACTACAGCTGTAAGTAAAAAGATGTCGTTTTTGAATCGTTGAATATATAAAAAGTGCTACAAAATGTTCACAATATTGCTGAAAATTTACAAGAGTACGTAAAACAAAGGAAGAAAACGTTCAATATCAGCCACTTATTTGATAAGATAAACACTTAAAGAGATTTCCTCATGCAACTGACTTTCCGTTGCATGTTGGCAGTGATAGAACACAGTATATGCGATGGATATTGGACAACTACCTTTGTCTGCGACCCATATGAAGCTGTTCGTCCCCTCTGTCAGTTAATCAAGATGATCAAGACCATTTTGAAAGTTTCTGCACTTGAGAAGGACAGGACATATGGCACAGATGGGAGAGATGAGAACTACATATAAATTTTTTGCCAGAAGACCCAAGGTGAAGTAAACCACTCGGATGACCGAGACAAGGATAGAAGAATAATATTAAAGTGAATCTTAATGAAATAGAGTGGGAAGGCATATATATATAGTTACACCATATACATGTAAGTACACATCAAAATTAATAACATCTAGAATTCATTTCAAAGGTGTTTGAAATCAGAAAGCTTGATGAAAACATACAAACATGACGAGAATTACGGGTCCCGTTATACTATGTACGAGTATTTCCACATAGCTAACGCACCATTTCTTTTAATCGTGATGGAAGGTAACATTCTTTACCGTTCTTTACCTCAAATCTCTACGTAACTGACAAAAATAATACCGCTAATCCCGAGTCTGAAGTACACACAATTCCCAACAATCCACCATAGCTACCATAACCGCCATGTTGAACATTAAAATTAAATTCCTGTCGTTTCTGTTCATGACCAGTATTGCAGTAATATACATTCTGATGATAATGATACAATTCCTACGTAAAATATAGAACCAAAGCGTGAAAAGCTTAGAGTGACAAATTTGGGAAATTATGTAAATAACATACATTTTTAATTAATTAAAAGCTTTTGGGCAGGCCTGCCCAACATTCTTTGCTGTTCGGGAAATTTCTGAAAACTTTAGTCTGTACACGTTTCCGCATACACGCACAACATTATTGCGTGTCGCGCGACGCGTAGATTACGTGACAGACGTATTACAGGTGCAGACGGCGGCCCCGTAACAGGTGACGTGGCGATTACGTAACATGTGTACACGGCGATTATATAAACGGTCTCGACCGCTCAGACCGACAGTCGAGGTCGGAACTTGTACAAGTGTGGAAGAGGGTGCCGGACATTTCGAATAGATCAGCAGGAGTAAATACACTGTTGCAGCCACAACGCAACCATGTCAGACGTCGAGCCTGTGGTGCTACTCTCGATCCCGGACTGCGAGTTTGTAGGGGACACTGTCTTCGACTTATTCCAGGAATTCGAAGCCACTGAATTATACCCCTTAGTATCTGACCAACACTACTCCAACCACTACTCCATGAACACTAGTGCAGGTACAAATAATCAGATTGAAAGTGATTTGAATAACGGAACAACTACAGACCAGATGCTTGCTAAGGAGAGGGTTGACAACATTGAAGAAGATGTCGATCCAGGTATGGTCCATACCGTCACTGCAACAGGCCCAGTCACCGCCAACATTTTGTGGTCCATTGAGGAGTGGTTGTTGCAGAGCTTTGAAATTTCTCCAAATATGAGCCTTCCTCGTTCTACAATTTACAAACTTTACCTCCATCACTGTAAGGACAGATTAAAATCTCTTACTCCACAATCGCTAGGGAAGATCGTCAGCAGAGTTTTTCCTCAGCTGAAAACCAGAAGACTTGGCAAAAGGGGTAATAGCAAATACCACTATTATGGGATCCGTCCAATTCCTGGATCAGCAGCGAGTAAACTGGCAGAAGAAGAGAACATTGTTGATGACCAGCAAAGAGCTCAGAGACGCTGTAAATTCCGGTCCCGCTCAGGTGTCAGTGGGACTGGCATTCTGAAAACAGGAAACAAATATGAGCAAAATGCAAACAGTTCAGTCGGCTTGGGTCACTGCAATTCATTACAACAGGATCCTCATCAACACCAGTATCCAGGCGACATACCAGAAGCAATACCCAACTTTCCAGGTATAGACTATGCTCTAGATCTACCTGAGGATTGCACATTTGAAGATCTGAACACATTTCATCGTATCTACATAGAACACTGTGCGGCCTTTGTGTATTCACTTGTGAACTTTAATTTCCTGACTATTGAGAGTTTGTGGAGAGAATTCTGGCAAAGTCAGGATAATAACAATGGTGATGAATGTGACCAGGAGAAATATTTGCTCAAAAGGAAGTTATATCTCTTATGCAAGTGTGAAGCAGTTCAACAGTTTGTCTGGAANCTGTACCATCAGATTGCAGTCGACATCCTCATTCCTAATATTCTTTTGCCAATTCCAAGTTTAGTAACACAATCAATTCAAAACTTTGCAAATGGACTGGAATCGTGTCTAAGAAGAGCCATGACAAACTGTCCTGAGGAAATGGTGAACATCAAAGTCTCTGCTGTGAGTGTCTTGGTACAGACATTATGTCGCTACAGCTCACTAAACCACCTGGCTCAAGTTTCGCGTCCTGTTCTTCAGAATTCTTCACTGATACACCAGATGCTGGTTGACCTCAGTCAAGTTGACTTTCACAAAATACAAGCCGAAGTATCATGGGTATGTCAGTGTGATGACAGTATGGTACAACAACTGGAAGTTGTCTTCAGAAAGATACTGCATGAGCAGAGTTCATTAGAGCAATGGTCAGCCTGGTTGGAGGGTGTCATTTCACAGATGCTGAAACCATATGAAAGAAAACCTGACTTTGTGAAAGTTGCAAGACAGTTCCTACTCAAATGGTCATTTTACAGTTCATTGGTTATCAGAGACATAACACTCAGAAGTGCAGCAAGCTTTGGCCCCCTTCACATGATCCGTCTACTGTATAACGAATATATATTCTTCATTATTGAGCACAAAGTGGCTCTGGAGACAGGGGACACTCCTATTGCAGTAATGGGAGAAAAATACAATAACAGTCTGTCCAATTTGAGTGAATTCTTGCAACTGGGATCTATCTTTTAAAGAGGAAGTTCTTGTTAATGTTTGAAGGAAGATAGCTCCCACAACCCTTGCTGCTGGAACTAATGAAGCTAGCCACCATGCAGTCGCCACAGAATGTTTCAAGATCGGCTAACAACTGCATTAATTCTGGTCATATGTAAATAATTTATGTCACTTCAGATTTCAATATGCTATCATATGTGTTAATCAGTCATACATCAGAAATGTTAAATAAATGAAATTGTCAATTCAAACACCGTGTCTAGTCTCTAACACTTGACAATATGTATCTATAATATATACATATTATAAACTTTTATTTTCATATATTTCCATGCATTATAGACAATAGCAAATATTTATAATAATACAAATGTTTAATTAATATGCCATTGACATATGCGTAGTGTGCCTTCATCATGGCTGGTGGCCATTTTATATCTAGTTACTGATATCTGCATAGAGATTGCACGGCAAACGGCAGCACTGCTATGCTATGAGAGCTGATCATTTAGGGTGAACAGATTGAAGTTGCAGTATGTACAGATGCAGTTACACAGTATAAATCTGTAGATTAGGTGTACTGTTTCTATGGTGTAACACCATATAGACTATTAATTGGTTATCTATGTTTTGGAAGCATGAGGTTCGTTCAAAATGGGTGACCAAACTGCTGTCAAAACTCAAGTAATCTCTCTGAATAGACAAGTGCTCATAAGAGAGTAAGCGTCATGGCCTCTGCTGTGAGAAACTAAAATTCCTTATCAATATGTGTTTGTACACACTCATAATTGGTATGTTTCCTTACAGACTTGGGCAGCTGTTCCCAGTTAGAAACTGGTTCACTTATTAAAAATAAGATTTTATGTCACCAAGATTTTTGTAAGGGAATTCTTTTGCAGCCCATGAAACATTGTGTGGCAAATGATATGCAAGGTTCTGAAGAATTCTATGTTTTCTTGTAACCAGAGTGCTGCAGAGAGTCCAAGAAATATTTCCTCCTATGAGAAATCATAGTGAGTGTTTTGTGCTTGTGTGCACAGAGAAGAGATTTATTGTCATCATGTGTCAATTCTCATGGCCAACAAAACTAAATATGTGAGTTTTTATAATTCATCTGGCGAGTTTTTGTTATACATTGTTGTACACATTATAACACTTTGGTATATTGTGTATTATGACAGATTTTAATTAATTTGGGAGGGTTTGAACTGGATTTGTTTGACTCAGGATACAGAGCCATGATGGGCATGTATGAACACAGTAATGATCCTTTAGGTACCATAAAAAGCAGATATTCTCTGTACTGCCACAGGGACCATTAGTTTCTCAGGAAGGTTCCTGTGCCATGAACTTAATACTGTCTAATGACTTTGGAAGTTATAGAGAAGAAAAAATGTACAAAACAGCAGTTGTGGGTTAGATCTAATGAAAAACAGATTCATTGTTTCATATAGAGGGGTTTTACAGTCATGACTGATAAATACATAATGGTTTTACAGAACTATACAAATTCAGAGAATAATGTACTGGGTCTGTGTGGTGAGACATACACAACATCTGCTGATGCAAACCAGGCCATGAATGTAAAAGCTGAGGAAGTCTCAGACCAAGAAGGGAAGAGGACACTGTCCCAATAACATGTCTGGAAATAAAGGTTGAACCTGAGGTGAGTTGTGTATTAGGAAGATAACACAAATACGCAGAAATGCTGGTTGTCTTTCTGATCTCCCTCTCTCTGTCCATGCACATGAAACAACTCCACACAGTTGACTGGGTTTTGAAGAGCTCTTTCTGAAAATGTCTCTTTAGACAGTTGTCTTTCAAGCAGATCTAGTATAGAGGAAATAAAATACTGTGTCAACTGAATAATATTTGAGATAAATTCCATAGCAGGAAAATCTTTCACATATTCCTTGTCTATCCAATCCACTGAGCAGTGCTTTGGTACTACTTGATAAGAGTTTCCAGGTTTTATAAATGCTGAAAATTATCATGTTGAGGATGTATAACATGATAAGTAAGGATTCTCTAAAGATCTGTGACAGTGGTTGAGAGACCATACAGACATGCTGAACATTGCACATTGCTCATTGTACCTGAAACTTTGGGAGTTGCTTCTGTTCCTACCTTTAGTGACTGGTTGTCCCTGTACTGACAGGTTTTATGTTATTTTGTATAGGATAGACAGGACAGTTGCTAAACTGTAGATACAAAGAACACGTAAGATGAATAGAAAATAGCACTCACGAGTTGGCTTCATAATGAAACACCCCCACAAGAAAGGGTCTATTCATTTCTAGGTGTACATATACAAATACATAAAGATAAATCTACTTGTAGATGACCAAACTAAGACAAAAACATTCTATTCAAAATATTATTTGCACAAGGTAGCACACATACACCTAACTGTATATTGGCACTTGTATGAGAGACTATAGATGAGTTTTTGATTGATAATTGGATTTAATTGAACACTTACAGACCATAGCTACAAATACTTAGCACTGTTGCTAATTCACACACTCTGCAGTTCAGTACAGCATGTACTAAGTCTCCTCAGCCTGCTGTGAGTTCACCAGTGGATTTTCCCCTGCTCCTGAGCTCATGTTCTCACAGGCTGGCAGCCATCTCATGCCACCAGCCTCCTCCTCTTCCAACTGCCGTTTCAAGTCAGAGTCTAAGTCATATTGATGGTCAGTCAGTCAGTCTTGGTGTCGAGCACCATCTAGGGCTCATGACCAGATATTTATTACTGTTTGACAGTTACGGTCTTAGTACTGTGGGACGCCCTCTCTGCCGAGAGGACTGGTCTGTCTTTTGTCAGAATCAATTGCAGTTTCAAGTCAAAGTCAAAGTCACATTGTGACTGACGGTCAGTCAGTAAGTCTTCAGATATTAATTATTACCGTTTGACAGTTACGGTCTTGTTTCTGTGGGGTGCCCTCTCTGACGAGAAGACGGGTCTGTCTTTTGTCAGAGTCAAAGTCACATTGCGACTGACGGTCAGTCAGTCAGTCAGTCAGTCAGTCAGTAAGTCTTGCTGTCGAGCCCCATCTGGGGCTCATGACCAGATATTAATTATTACCGTTTGACAGTTACGGTCTTGTTTCTGTGGGGCGCCCTCTCTGACGAGAAGACGGGTCTGTCTTTTGTCAGAGTCAATTGCCGTTTCAAGTCAAAGTCACATTGCGACTGACAGTCAGTCAATCAGTCAGTCAGTAAGTCTGGGGCTCATGACCAGATATTAATTATTACCGTTTGACAGTTATGGTCTTGTTTCTGTGGGGTGCCCTCTCTGACGAGAATACAGGTCTGTCTTTTGTATATGCTGCTGGCCCTTGCCAGCACATTCTTTCTTGGGTCCGAGTCCCTTGGGACTCGCGACCATATTTTACTGTCTCAGATTTGAGACTTCCCTTTTCATTGCCTCATATGACTTGCAGGGTCACGGTGGCAGTATTCGACACCGCCTCCACACAGGTGACTGACTCCTTAGTCAAGTCAACACTCTGCCATTTCAAGACTCTCTCTCTCTCATTATGTAGCCTAGTGACAGACTGCACAGAAAACACTGCTTCCAACAGTTACTCCAGTGTTTCATGTTATACAGCCATTACATAGTAATGGCTGTTTCTTTGGTTTCACAGTTCTTTCTTTGAGCAAATATGCCACAGTATTAAACCCCACATATCTTCATTCCAGTACCACCCCAGACACTGACCACATTAGCAGCACTGCACACAGCACATAGTAGCAAGTGATGGACAGCAATGAAAACTTTACATTAAATTTTGTGACTCCCCCTCTCCCCAAAACATAGGCTAAAAAAATTAGCTAATTGCACCCTGTTATGTTTGCAGACTATGAGACAATAATACTCATATATCAGTCATATTCTGCACAAAGTGTGCATAGAAAAGAGGAACACTAACAGAAACCAGAATATCTACAAAATTACACACACCATTGGCAGTTATACACAGGCAAGGACCTCACTACACTCTCAACTACTTGGGGTTTTAAATTTCATGTAAATACATATTACTGCTACAAATTAATGTATACCAAGCAATCTCCTCTCTAGCATGTGAGCGTCTTGTGGTCATCCTATAGGGATGAAACACGTAAGGTGCATTTTCTCTAATAAATAAGATTGTAACAGCTGAATGCTATTTATACCTGACGGCTTTTGTTTCTTAAACATCAAAATAAGTTATAACAGCTGAAGTGTCACATAACAGTTTGTAAAATGACATTTTGTAATGAAAGGTAGCACGTATGCATGCAGCTATTGGGTTGGAGATGCAAGGATGGCACAGGAGAGGACAAGTAGTGCAAAATACAACAAACAAGATCTACATTTGCTGAATGGATAAAGTAATCAGCTGATGCCACTAGTGCTAGACTTGTTGCTAAATGGGTGAAACAATTCACATGAGAAGGAACGAATGCCCTCTATCAATGAAGTCTTAATACCTGGTCATCTGAGCTTTCCAGCCTGAATGAGTACACCTTTATCACCTTCTGCATCATGACAATCATGTGACACATATTGTAAACACATTCCGTGTAATACAGATGGTCCATGTCTTGAGTTATCAATTTCCCTGCATATACAGAGCAAAATTAGTGAAAAACAATATGTCAGAATTCCTCGCAGTTCCAAGAATTGCTTCAGTGGACTATGAATTTCCCAACAGAAAATGGTTGCCATCAGGAGTGTATGTGCCATTTTGTCCCACTCTCTTGCCCTCCACCCCACCACATGTTCAGTCCATTGTTTACCACAGCCAGTATTCTGTTTGCTGGGGCTGTCGGTTATTTTCTCTGTGATTGTGTTGAAAATTTTATGCCCTTGCTGAAGCCATGAGTGTAGAGCACAGTCACAGTGCTGTGTGAAATCGGACACTAGGCATTGCAAGAAAAGAGGTGAGCATGAAATGCACATTGCATGTGTTGTTAAGATCCCAAATATGATGATGCGTACCATTTTGAAGATTGCACAGGAATTTGAAACAATTGTTCTTACCTTGTTAGAGCACTTAAATTTGGAAATTGCATGCCATATGTGTGATGTGATGGATATTTTCATTAGGTTTCTTCTTAGTTATTAGCCGTCTTACATGCGAGTTGCTTTTTAAAACCTTTAAACTTTTAAACATCTCTACATCACTTTTGTATGCACACTACATGTTTCAACCAACATTGCTTGTCTTCAGATGTCTCTAAAATTGCTGATGAAACTGCTTCTGTCCATAGGTTCAATTTTTTGGGTGTGCCCTTGTCTGTGTAACAAATATTAGTATCTTGTATTAGTGTATTGTGTCTGATGTGTTTTTGTTATGGTATTGTGGTGTATAGACTTGTTGCTAAGTGGTGACTACGTAAACAGTGGCTGTTGCTAAGTATGGCCTGTAACATACATGAATACAGCAATAAAACAATGGGGTTATGCAACCCATTTCTAGGCAGTAGATCAGTAAACACGCCTACAAATTCAGAGAATTGTTGGAAACAGTGTTTTCTGTTCATACCATGCAAAGTGGTTATAAGAAAGACAAGTAAGGCAATATAGTTAGTTGAGGGTTGGCAGTTCAGTGGAGTTCTGCATGGGAAGCTGTGAACAGAAGAGTTAGTTGCAAGAGTGCGGCTGTGAAGAGAAGGCTTTATGTGTGATGTTTGGAGTGTGTAATTCAGTGAGACTGTTATAATTCCTCTGTTAAATTGAACCGATACTTCTCCTGTCTTCACCCTACCACCACCAAGCATCAGTGAAGTTGGGAGCGGTTCATCGTCTCTGGCCCTCGCGTCGTATTTACAATGCTCCCTAAGATCATCGTGGGAAACCAAGCATGCAGCGGAGAATCATTGTAGAAGTCAATGACAGACCCACAAAATAACAATAACAATGTTTAATAAACACAAAAAGAAGTAATGACAAAAATACACAAAAAATACATAAATAAATAGAATAAACCTGGCTGAGTGTGTGCATTCTACATTAATCCACACCTCGCGGCATCAACTCAACAACCTGCCCAGTGGCATTTGAATACAAGTCCCTTCCTAGTCACATGCGACATCAAAACAAATACATTGAATAACTAAATTGAACTGGTCCGCCACAGGCGGCATCAAGAAATTACGTGTCTAAGGCTAAGCAGACCTCACTCACAGGTAGCCTCAAGAAAATAATATATATATTTATACAAAAAACTAACTCTCGTATCGCCGCCATGCCATTGCCCTGATAGCTGGTGACTATAAACCCCAACGTCTGCGGCCAGACCCAGAGTATGCCAAAACGCAATTTTGAAACAACACCCCTCTGAATGGAAATTTAGAAAATATCCCTGGCTGGTCAGCAGACGTGCTTACCCAAGTGGATCCACTTATCAGACTAACCCTCTGCTCCCAAACATACTTCTTTCTGAGACACAGGGGTAGAAAGGGTGGGAAAATCACGTGGAATTGGGAAAGAGGAGAAGGGGGTAAGTTCTAGGACCTTGGGCGAAGGGTAACGTCGGAGAAATGGCTGGAAGCCATTACGTCACGGAAGGAGCCATTGCTTTAGCATGGCTCAAATCCATTACCAGGAAATGACTAGTGGAGAGTGCAATAGACTGAGAACGGTAGCCTGTGTGTGTCAGTGATCTGTAAAGG